GCAAAGAACCTCTTTCGGAATAGGAGGTACGGAACGGTAAATCGCTTCAAACGGGTTACTCTTTATGTAAAAGCGCTTTCCGAAGTGTTCGCTGCATAGTTGCAGTTGAAATTGCTGACACAAGCTACATTCTAACTACTGCAACGCTGATTGTTCCGTTGGATACCGACTAGACAACTTGACGCTTCATGCTTTCGGTTGGAATATCCAGAGGCTCTTCATTTGTGGTCATATGAAGGCCTCAAATACCTGTCACATCTATTTACAAACGGTCTTCTGATTAACCCGGGTGAATCTCCTAAACTATTAGAAGTGTGTGTGAGTGTTCTCATACTAGTTTTGACATCGTTTTCAGTTAAATATAATGCTACGCTAAATTCCCATCCCTAACACATTAGAGAATGCCTTTGAACTTCAAAAATGATCTATGTATGACCAAAATTAGACGGGAAACACTGACTGTCCATAAAATTTTGACGCCGATTTTAGCATGTGGTGAAGCTCACCAAAACGTTGACTTAAATAAAACCTAGTCACAGACCTATTGCGCGAGCTCACCCATCCGGAGCAGTACAAGAAGGAAGAAGCTTGCAACGCGTGGCAGACACTCACCTCCCATTGCCTAACATTTTTCGAAAGCTGTATCTACATCATCCACACGCTCAAGATTTAAACTTTTACTTGCGCGCACCTCCTCTTCTGCTTATCGTAATGCTGTTTTGCCATATCTAGCACGTCTACTTATTGACTAGGAGAAAGTTGCCACAGAATCGCACAAATGTTTGTTTCATTGATAAACATAATACTTATGTATATATATATATATATATATATATATATATATATATATACACGGTCGTTGCATGCAGCTACTCCTCCAGCCGCGTGGCCAGGCAATGCAGGATCGTTCACCAATCTCCGGCAATATTGTTCATTTTTTAGCACCCGGGTGTGTTAATTTTCAGTATTTACACCCTAACCGTGGATTCAAATTGACAAAATCATCACATAATGAAACTGAAAGCAGTAGTTATATATTACTTGGTTTTTATAATTGGTCAACGTATATTTGACCCCAAACGATCAGCAATATTCACAACATTATAATGAGATGAGCCAAACTTCGAAACGTCACGAAAACATATTTGGGTACCCCATGTGAGGGGAATGTGGACAACGGGATTATCGATCATTATCCGGTGAGCAATGGTTTGAATCAGTGATGGGCTGGCGTTCAATCTCGCGCGGGTTAACACAAAACATACCCACAAAGGGGACATGCTCAAACCCTCAAGTTAATACGTGTCCGGTTTAGCGTCGTTTCAATCGTAATCATCCGACACGTTGTCCGCTCACTTGAAGTATTGCAAGGGCGTAAAAGAGTGATACAGTGACTGCGTACCACGGTTTGGAACTCCGTGTGCGAAACAACAGAAAATACAATCCATTTACACTGATTTTTTTATCATCTAAAACAGCAAGTGTATGATCCGTAGAGAGTATCACCAGCATGTTCGCTCCTGTTAAACCCCAAAAATGTCTAGTTAGCAACGATTTTTTTCATGAAATTCTTATTTTCTATCAACGCGTTAGTCTCATTAGGCTTCCTTGAACAGTTTACTATTTCTCCTTGGTCTCACTTTTGTTTTTCAGATTCCGATCCGAATTCGTGCAATCACTCATTCTTCCTCGACAACCCCTGGTGTCAGCTAGTCTACATCGGTCAGTGTGATGTTGGATCGGACGGTGGAGTACACCTGATCAACCAGAGTATCATGCATGTCCTCATGCGTCAGTCAACCACGTACAAACCGACCCCGGTCTCTATGGAATTAGGTAAGCACGGTGCTCAGCCTCGGTCACTGACGCAATTCACACCCGCATTTGTGAGCATGGTCTGCCTGCCTAGCCGCCACCCCTCCGACACATTTACACACACATTATCTGCCGCCACCATCATGATGAGGACATGGTCTGACCCATACGGATTTATACACATCATACACAATCTCCAGACCGAAGTTTAGTCGCACCGGGTTACAAATGAATTTGTCCGGTTGCGTTTTTGTCAAAGGTATCTATCTATCTATCAGATTTGAGAATTATTCGTGCAGGCTGCACGACAGTGCGAATTCCTGTGTGATCACAGATCCCCTAATGTGGTTGAAATTCTACGGTAAACACCACACCGGAGATCTTGACAAAACCCGCCCCGATATGAAATGCGGACTGCTTTCTTTGAGTACATCTCCACCACCACCAAATCGGGTGGGTAAGATAGATTTAGACCACAGGGAAAATGACTAGATTGACCCAGTAGTGTTTGTTAAACAGTCACACGTTCAACTATAGATATTGGTTAGCTTATCTTTTTTTATTTTATGGAACTGTGTTCCATGTGGCAAGTTGATGATCGTGGTCAATCATTGAGTATGGGCTATTCAGAAATCTCGGTTGTTATTTGCCAATTTGAGACATCTGTGGCACCGTCGCAATATCCGGTTGTCTGTGAAGGGTCGAGTGTATGCTGAGGCAGTGCAGTTCGGCTAGATGGAGCACAAACTTGGGTAAAAATAGGCTGTCGGTGTTCGAACACCGCTGTCTACGTAGTATTGCACGAGTCTGGTGGGGAAACCGGACTAGCAATTCTGAGGTTAGGTGTAGAGTTTTAGGTACTCGCAGTTGTCCACTGGAACAGGTAGTCGACCTCCATGGATTACGTTGGTTGGGAGCATGTGTTACGCATGTCACCAAATAGGTGGCCACGGCAAGCGATGTTTGCCGAGGCAGGTAGTGGGTGGATTAAAGCCAAGGGTATAAAAACGCACATGAGGAGACTGGGTCACATAGATCCCGTTAGATTCCCTGGCTGGGGACCTCGGGATGATCGTAACCGATGGTTAGAGACACTGAGTGATATGATTGGGTGTCGTAAACAGTGGCGTTCGTGCATCTTTGTCAATTGCTCTGCTGCATTGGTCCACCGAAATTCTGAATTTACTCTTCGATCCAACTTTCAACGTGTCCTGTCTTTTTCCAAACAGGCAGTCAAAAGACAGCAACCAAAATCGGCCCACGGTAGTGCATGGTAAATGGTTGTACAAACTGAAACTGATTCACGTGACCAGAAGTAGATTCAACAACTCGTTCACGCTGTTGCTGTGCCTACTCGTTTGTCCCGGAAAATTGCACTGAGAAAATCAATTCATCGCCCAGGACGAGTAATCGGAACTCCCTAGTGTGAATCAGATAGTGTGGCAGACAAGCAATCATTGAGAAATTACGAACTAGTCATGATTAGAATACTAGGAAAGTTAAAAATCAATAATGACATGTGAATTAAGGTTATCCAAAGCAGAGGAGACGATAGAATGAAAGCAGTTCGTTTGTTTAAAACAGAACAAGATCGACTAATTGATTATTTCTCACCTTCCTTAGATGTCTGCTGTTCTCTTTTATATCCCGAAATTCCACGTATTGATTAAACTTATCGAAAACCCTTGCACCAAATTTCATTTGTTTGTTTGCTGGATAAATATCACAATGCCTTTCTGTGTTCCATGTCCAGTCGTAGTTGACCACTTCAGGACATGGTGCGATTACAGTAGTCTTTTATCACTTCGTTTCTTTTTTCAGCTATACTTACCTGAAACGATCATCCGAAAATCGTCTCTTCTAACAGTGGATTTTCGCTAGATGGTGGAGCAACATAAAGTTCTATGAGTCGCATGGATTTATCAAATAGTTTGTCCATTATTCTTCCAGAATCACTCTAGCGGAGTAATTCACAGCAATGTATGATGACGTCATGACGTCGCCACAGAGGTCATGCACTCGAACCCCCTTATTGTCCACTTGTTTGCGTTACATTACAAGCATTTGGTCAAACGGGACTTTCAGGAATTGATTATGTAGATTACCAGGAGAATGAATGATGTGCGGCCATTCCGCTGCATATCACGCGGAGTTTTGGCTGTTACACAAAGTTTATATGAGGATTTTTAATTCCCTTTACTTCATCCAACTCGAATCCCGATTATAACCCAAAATAATTATGGAAAAATAGCCTGTCTCCGTTTGGGCGTTGAAGAAGAACTCAGCATCGGGTTTAGATAACATTCGTTCACAAGCCATTATCACCCTGGCAAGTCACATAGCCGATCCTTTAAGTGAGCTACACCAAAAACTGTTCGAAGATACCGTGCTTCCTCAGG